CCCTACACTGCAACCGTGGGCCAGAGTCCAGTTCTGATGGGGTAGAAAAGTCCAGAGAAACAGATCCCCACCTGCCTTTGAGGATCACCCAGACCTCCTGCTGCTGCTGACGCCCCCATGACACCAGCTCCCCTTGGATCTGGCTGCCTCTGGAACTGGGCCCAAGACTCTTTTGCCCCTTTGGACACTGTCTATTGCACTGCAGGCTGTGTTTTCCCTGAAGGTTCCTTCTGAAAGCCAAGCCCCATATCCCCAGGCATACCCTACCATGTCCTGGACACATCCCTTCTCTTGTCAGCCTGATATGCTAAGATCCCAGCCTGTCTCATTGCTGAGTCCTTGGGAGTTCCAAGGAAGCGCTCTAGCCCTGTTCTCAGCCCGAAGTTTTCCCCTTCCACATTCTCTCCCTTTGGTCACCTTCTCCACTCCCAACAACCTCTACAAAACTCTCCCACTAGAAGACCCTTTCTTTTTGCATCTGCAGAACCCAGTACAGCCCTTGGCATATAGTAAATGCTTAACTAACGTGCACTGAATGAGTGAGTGAATAAATGAATGGTCAGCCCTGCCCACTCACTTGGGCTCCAGAACTGACTACTGGAAAGCTCCTCTTGATGTTCAGAAGACATCTCCAACTCAAAGGACCCGAAACAGTACTAAAATTTCTCCCGCTATGCACCCAAAGCACCTCAAGTCCCCTATTTACACTTGCAGTTCCCCAGCATCCTTACAGACTTCTTCTCTCTATCCAACCAGTTACCAGGGTCCCAGCCTCCCCTGGAAGCTCTCCACACCTCTCTTACTATTCCCCGTGAATTCCTTGAATATAATCTGGGCTCCAGAGAAGGGGGACTACTCAGTTCCCTGAACAGACAACCTGCATTTTCCTTTTTTTCAAAGTTTAATTAAATGAAAAGAAAAAAAACTAATATAAGCTCAGTGTAGAACATTTAAAAATTATATACAATTGTGAATTTTGTATACACTTGAACATTTAGGGTTTTCCCATATTTTCATGACTATGAGGAACAATTCAATGCAGATCCTTACATATAAAAATTTGGGGCACATCTTTAACCATCTCACCAGTAGTGGGATTATTAGGCCAAAAGTTACGAGCATTTTTAGGCTATCAATGCATATACGCTAAATTGCTTTCCAGAAATAAATGCTGTACCAATTTATACTCCAAACAGAGTATAGCGATGGTGCTTATCTCACTTCACTTCTGTCAGCACCAAATATTACTTTAAAAAATCTTCGTCAGTTGCATAGGTGGAAATTAACAAAGATTTCCTCCATGCCTTCTCTGGTATTTTCTCTCTGATCAGTTATCGATCTCTCTTCTTTCTCTCTCGCTTTCACTGGACTTCCTCTAACTGGACTTCCCTTCAGCTACTGAGCTTCATCCATTCTATAAAATCCACCTCAGGGCTTCCCTGGGGGCACAGTGGTTAAGAATCCGCCTGCCAATGCGGGGGACACAGGTTCGAGCCCTGGTCCTGGAAGATCCCACATGCCACGGAGCAACTAAACCCGTGCACCACAACTACTGAGCCTGCTCTCAAGAGTCTGCGAGCCACAACTACTGAGCCCGTGAGCCACAACTACTGAAGCCCGCGCGCCTAGAGCCTGTGCTCCGCAACAAGAGAAGCCACCGTGATAAGAAGCCCGTGTTCCACAACAAAGAGTAGCCCCCGCTCACCACAACTAGAAAAAGCCCACACGCAGCAACGAAGACCCAATGCAGCCAAAAATAAATAAAACAAATCTATATTTAAAAAAAAACCCACCTCAGATACACCCCTTCATGAAATCCCCCAGCTCCTGCCTAGAATGCTGTCTCACCCAGAATCCCATCATTTTGTTTGCATCTCCTGACTCTGCCTTGCAGTGAGATATTCTGTATGATTTTTGTTGTTGGTTTTGTTCCTCATTTACCTTAAATGCCCTGAGAACAGATCCATATCCTTCTGCAGTATGTCCCACATCTTACAGTTCTAAAATGTTGAATTACATTTACATGTAATATAGCGAGAGTTATTCTTCAGCTTCATTAATAATGGTATACAAAGAAATAAGACTTTAGCTGCATGGTGGGACAGAAGTTTACTTATTTAAAAAAAAAAAAAGAACTGTCTAATGGTGAAGGTGGTTTTGCAGTGAAAGGGGGAAACTGTGCAATTTTCTTTGCCCTTATTGAAAGGTAGGGTCAAAATAATATTCTGTCAAGTGGAAAAGAAAGCAGCTTACCAAAGGGTATGTATAACTGTTTTTGTAAAAATAAAATAATACCGTCATTTATATCCACATAAAGAATACATTATGCACAAATTCATGGGCATAGAAAAAATCTGGAAGTACATATAACAACAATGTTAACAATGGATATTTCCTAACTTTCTATAGTTACTGTGTTTATTTGGCTACTTAAAAATATTTTTTAAATGTCATAGAAAAATAAAGTAGGATTTACACCTCTAAGTCCAGAATTAAATGTATTAGTGTCTGAAAGTCAGCTCTGTATTACCTCCATAAGACTCAGGGTTGGCAATGTTTTCTCCTTTAGTGTCAAAAAGAAGAATGAAAACATCATTAAGGGTTCTGTGAAGCTCCTCTAAGCCTTCTAGTGTGTAAGAAGCTTCTATTTCTTTGAACAACTACATAGACTACAAAATTATCAGTTTGTTTTAAAATATATGATGTGTCAAAAAGTCTATTGATGTTTTCCTTTTGTATTTTCAATGA